TTTGTGTACATACATAGTGTGTGAGGGGTGTGTGTGAGAGTCTGTGTGTGTCTCTGTTTGTGCACATACACAGTGTTTGAGGGGTGTGTCTGTGTGTGTGTCTGTCTGTCTGTCTCTGTGTCTGACCACAGTGTGACTGTTGTGAAAGGCTGAGTGTGCTGTGGGGAACAAGGTTCATTTCAATGTCTGTTTGCTGTGCACCAGCCCGTAAAATAGACACGCAGCTGAGCATATGCACATCTTAAAAGGGGACTTGCTTATGTGCAACCTGTTTATTTCCTGTTCCGCACATTGCTGATTGTTGCTAAGTATGGAAGTGTGAATGGGCAGTGGGCAATGCCTTCAGTGAAGCTGTGTATGCAGTCGATGTACAGGCAGTTGCCTGTTCTGCAATAGTGCACACGGTTGTTGTAAAGAGATGTGTGCACTGCTTGTGGTGTTGTGAATGTCTTGTGTAATGCTGTAAGTCCACTTGTGGACAGGTGAGTGGAGCTGTCTGTTGTGAAAAGATGGTTTGTGCAGAGGCCAATTGGTGTTAGAGGGTAAATGTATAATCACACCAGTCCCATGTAGGATGTGTGAACGTAAGCGACTGTGTGTAATAGTGTAGTATCAGTATGGCAGTGACTGTTGTGAAGCTGTGCATGTTCCAAATTAATGTGAAATGGTGTGGGTACAGAGTGTACAGTTGTAGCTGGCTGCTGTGAAACAGTGACTATAAAATGCAGACAGTCTGCTGACCATGAGTCCCCTCTCACAGACTGTTATGAGTCTCCCTCCGGGAGAGTCTCCCTCTGGGATAATGTTAGAATCTCCCACTGGGATTGTGTTAGATTTTCCCTTTGGGATAGTGTTAGAGTCTTACTCTTGAAAAATATTGGAGTTTCCCTGTGCGATAGTGTTAGTGAGCCTCACTCTTGGATACTGTTAGAGTCTTTTTCTGGGATAATGTTAGCATCTTCCTCTGAGATAGTATTAGAGTCTCCATCTCAGATACTAAATTAACATTAGCCCCTATAGGCACTGTCATTGTAAATGGCACATTTTAGCAAATTTCTTCTTCAACTTGGGGCTGTTGATGAAAGCAAGGTTAATCTATTATTAAAGGGTCACCTCATAGAGGTCATAAGGTAGATGTAGAGACAAATATGAAATGTGGTAGTTGGAAACCAAACACCTTAGTACCAGGACATGGCTGCATGTCATTGGCCCAACTCTCACTAACTGCTTCATCAAAGACCTTCCCTTTACCAGAAGGCCACAAATGGTAAGCTCACTGTTTGCATAATGTTCATTTCCATGTGTCATTCCTCAGACGTTTTCCAAGTGGACAACATTCAGGACTCAGTTTGTAAGTGGCAAGTAACATTGGTACCGACACAAGCGCCAGGTAATGGCCATCTCCAGTGCGAAGAAATCTAACCAAGTCCCCATGACATTCAATGGAAATACAATGGCCGAATTACCTGCTATCAATATCCCTGGCAATCGCCCATTGATTTAGCTTGACCAGCCATCAAAATAATATGATGAGAGCTCTGTATTCCAAGACAGGGAATGTGGATCTCAGCTTCCCAGATTTGGTCAGTCAGCTATGAAGCACAAATCAGGAATGGGATGGAATGATCTCCAGTTGCTTCGTTACATACAATTCTACCAGTGCTCAAGAAGTTCAGCACCATCCAGGACAAAGCTTGATTGGCATCCCTCCACCACATTAAGTATTCACACCGTCCACCAAGATTTCACACTGGCAGCAGTGAAAGAGACATTTCGATCATGGAGTACTGTGTCCAGTTCTGGTCACCCAGTTATAGGAAGGATATTATTAAGCTGGAGAGGGTTCAGAAGAGATTTACGAGCATGTGGCCGGGTAGGGAAGGTTTGAGTTATAAAGAAAGGCAGGATAGACTGGGATTTTTTTCACTGGAGCGTAGGAGATTGAGAGGTGACCTTGTAGAAGTTTGTAAAATCGAGAGGGGTATAGATAGAGTTAATGGTAGGTGACTTTTCCATAGCATGGAGGATTTCAAGACTAGGGGGCATATTTTTAAGGTGAGAGGAGAGAGATTTAAAAAGCAAATGAGAGGCAAATTTTTTACAAAGGGTTGTTCGCGTGTGGCATGAAGTGATGGATATGAGTACAATTACAATGTTTAAAAGACACTTGGATAAGTGTATGAATGGGAAAAGTTTGGAGGGATATGGGCCAGGAGCAGGCAGGTGGGACTAGTTTATTTTGAGATTATGTTTGGCATGGACTGGTTGGACAGAAGGGTCTGTTTCCATGCTGTATGACTCTATGACTCTATAAACATCACCAGTATAAACCACTTATGGCCTGTTTCTTGCGCATTCTTTGTGTGCCTCTGTAGCTGGATTGCTGACAGTTATTAAAGGCATCCGCTAAGTTGGGGGTCAACATGAAATGGATGCATATTGAGGAATGCTATTGTTTCCCCGGAGAGAGTACAAGGTCAGGACATTGGACAGAGAGACAGCCTCCATAAATAACTAACGCATTCCAGTTCATTGGAATTCTTTCAACATGACATATTTGGATACTGAACAACAAACCCGAGGTTAAAAATAAAGTTTGTGAGTTGGTCAGTGGTCATCACAGTGTGGGATTTGAACCTGTAACCCAGGCTGACATTGCCAGGGCAGACTGGGGCAGGGAGTGCCACCTGCTGTCTGCAGGATGAGATATTAAATCAGTGGCCAGTGTAGGGAGCCCTCCTCAGGGTCTTGTCCAACGGTTACAAGCTCCCATTGGATAGGTTCTTGGAGATCCCACAGTCTCTTGTGTCTGATATCCCTCCTGGTCTGCCAGCCTTTATCCCTTATCACCAGTTTCATTTTGTGAGGGTTACAAGCATTCAATAAAAATGGAGAGAAAAGAAGACAATTTGCTTTTATCATCCTCCTGGGCTGGTTGCAGTTGTTTCCTGGAGATTAAATTTTCACTCAGGAAACTCTAGGGCAGTCCCAGAGGGTTGGTAATCCTTTTCTTGCCCAACATTTTATCCCTCGTCCAAAAGGTGGTCATTATCATATTGCTATTAATCAGGTCATGCTGTGCCCAAATTGGCTGCTTTGTTTCCTATCTTGGTAGTCATCAGGCCAATGAGAATGTGAAAGGTGCTATCTAAATGTAAAGTCTTCCTTTTAATGGTTATATCTTGGCTTATAAGGCACCTTGCCTCTTGTGTACGGGGATTGAAAGGGTTTTGTGAAGCGTGGTGTTATTTTTGAGGGCTGCCTCTGAGGGAGTGAGTTGCAAAAACAGAAACATGGCAAGAATCGGAGGGGGGATGCGGTTAAAATGTCCGCAGCGACCCTGAGCAGTCCCCAGGTCATTCTTCTCTCTCCTTCATCCCAATCCTTTTTGTCTTCAATTCATCATCCCCTCCTCCAGCCTTCGCTTCATACCCCTAGGATTTCCTCCTCAACCCTTGTGCCTCACAGTTAGAAAGTAAGAAGATGCCACTTTAACCTGCATCTCTCTCTCTGCCCCTCTCCAGATTATTCGAGGACCACCCAGACACTAAAGCCGTTTTCCCCAAGTTTAAGGAAATCCCTGTGGAACAGCTAAAGAACAATGAGGATCTCCGCAAACATGGAACCATCGTTCTCCGGGCTCTTGGCAATATTTTTAAACAGAAGGGGAACCATAGTGTCAATGTGAAGGAACTTGCAGAAACTCATATCCACAAACACAAAGTCCCACCCCAGAACTTCACTGTAAGTACTGCAAGACCAGACCGAGCTGTTTCAGAGCCAACTGCACACTTTTGACACTTTGTGTTATCACGTAAGGTGCCAATCGACCCTTTATAAGAGTTGTACAGTGCAGAAACAGACCCTTTGGTTCAAATCGTCCATGCCAACCAGGTATCCTAAATTCATGTAGTCCCATTTCCCAGCATATTGCCCATATCCTTCTAAACCCTTCCGATTCATATACCCATCCAGAAGCCTTTTAAATGTGGTAATTGTATCAGTCTCCATCACTTCCTCTGGCAGCTCATTACACAGACCACCCTCTGCATGAACAACTTGTTCCTCAGGTCCCTTTTCAATCTTTCCCCATCTCGCCTTAAACCTATGCCCTTTAGTTTTGGACTCGCCCACACTGGGGAAAAAGATCTTGGCTATTCACCCTATCCATGCCCCTCATGATTTTATAAACCTCTATAATGACATCCCTCAGCCTCCAACACTCAGGGAATATAGCCCCAGCCTATTCAGCTTTTTCTTAAAGCTCAAACCCTGGCAACATCCTTGTAAATCTTTCCTGCACCCTTTCAAGTTTCACAACATCTTTGCTTTAGCAGGGAGACCAGAATTGAACACGGTTTTCCAGTAGTGGCCTAACCAATGTCCTGCACAGCCGCAACATGACCTCCCAACTCCTTTACTCGATGCAGTGACCAATAAAGACAAGCATACCAAACGCCTTCTTCACCACCCTGTCAACCTGCACTCTAAGTCTTTTTGTTCAGCAACACTAAATGTACAAGTCCTGCCCTGATTTGCCTTTCCAAAATTCAACACCTCACATTTATCTAAATTAAACTCCATTTGCCACTCCTTGGCCCATCTGATCAAGGTCCTGTTGTGCTCAGAGAACTCCATTCTATGCCACTTTCCAGCTCTTGAGCGCTACTTCTGTAGGTTACACCTTCTCAAAAGTGTCACAAGGATTTTCCCAATTTCGAGGATATCATCTCCCAACCTTTCAGGCTGTGACTCCCAAACCCCAACATCTGGGTGAAAATATTACACCTCAATCCCTCCAATCCTCCAGCTAATTTCTTTAAATTTATGTCCCTTGTTACCACCAAGGGATCTGGATCCTTATTATGCATTCAATCTAGACTCCTCATAGTTTTAGGGAACAGGAACTGAATCAGAAATGAGTCTTTGGTGTGGTTCTGTGGGCTGTGGGGGCAGTAACACCTTGAACCGAGCTTAACCAGATAGTTCAGGTAGCTAGTGGTGGTCCTACCCCATTACTGCCCTGACTCATCAGAAATTGCTGCCATGTCATTACGTCCCTCGGTGACCATAACCTTTTCTAATCTGTAATGTTAACCAGAGGTGACTAGTGTCTAAATGGCCACATGCTCACTGTCAAGCAGGAAACGTGGCAGGTTGAGTCATCTCCACCTCTAGACTAAATATAACTTGCCCCGTCATTAGCAGCCCTCAGTAAGACTGCACCCTCTCTCTCCAGGCACAACCAAGATCTTACTTTAAACATATGTACTTGCTTATGTCAGCATTCTTACTTTGTCTGTACCTTTCTCTCCCCCACACCCACCACAGTTCATCACCAACGTTGCCTTGATCATCTTGACTGAGATGTACCCGAGTGAGATGACTAAACCAATGCAGGATTCATTCTCGAAAGTTTTCAAAATCATCTGCTCTGACCTCGAGCAATTGTACAAGGCGGCTAACTTCCAGGGTTAAAGAGGGCAGTGCACTCCTGAGCCTGCATCTTAGCTAATAACGAGTAGTTTATCTATGGCAGCTTGGTAGAGGCGACTACACAGCTATTAATATTTACATGGTGAATTCATCCACAATGTAACAAATGTGTGCAAATATTGTTAGATAATTACATACTCACGCTTGCTTTGTGAATTCCTGCCTGTTCTTCCACTTTGAAGACCCACAGATTCCCAAGAAATCCTCACTCCACTGTGTAACATCATGCCATTGAATTCCAAAGTAGGCACTAGGGTTCAAACCCTGATTCTACATTTGACAAGGCTCCAAACCTCCAGGCCTGCTTCAGTCAGTCAGTAAGGTCACAGTTCATCGTGGACATCAGTGCTAATTGCCTGCACTATCCCCATATTCCTCAATTGCCCTAAGTGCTGAAAATGAAGTACACTTTTCTAAGTTTGCAGCTTAAATCTGAACTGCTGATGCTGCCACACCATGGCTCAGCAACTAATCTGTTGCATTGTGATGCCAAGATCCGTGTCCTTCCCTTAATTTAGAGGGATTTTAGGATCTGCTTTTCAAATATGAATTACTGAAGGGGATTTAGTTGCCTGGATTGTTTTTGGCTGCTTCTGACTTAACACTGTCAGCGTTTTCAGATATTGGGTCATAAATAATTTGAATCCTAAAACATCTGGAAGATGCTGTAACTGTGCAGACTGGGAGATTTAAAAATGGTTAAGTGCTGTTGGCTGTACATAGTCACCATCTCCCTCAGAGATTGTCAGAGGCTCTATGGCACTGGTCTGATCACAGGGTTAGGGGTCTCAGAGCAACAACAGCTCATTGTAACCCAAGCCATTACGTTCAGCTTTTATTGCACAGGGAGTCTGTACTAGGGTGCTAGGGTTCAGATTTTGTGATCCTCCTCCTACTGGATAAGAAATCTAGTGAGATCCAGTGGCATTGTACACAACTCATCAATGTGATATGGAAATTCCCACAGAAATGCTGTGAACAATTTTGCTCACTCCAGCCCAAAGCTTAACAGGCACTAGGATGATCAGATCACAGTTTGTTCAGTGCACTACTTGGGTACTTTACAGATACTCCATCCCAGGTCAAAAGTGGTAAATTTCAATGGGTGGGCCAGTGGTGTTGCACTGCATTAAATGGGAGCTGCTTGCACCTGTACATTCTGTGGAAATAGCCCACAGAGGATTGTTTTGGTCAAATATGGCAACAGTTAACAATTGATGTACTGTGCCTTGTGCAGAGTTGTACAAAAGAGTATTTCTACTCGAGAAAAATGGTAACAAAAACAGCCAACTTGCCTTGCTTTCTGCGGAAGGAGTTGGATTTTTGAGGATTGGACTAACCTTGTTTGGATAAGAAGGATCTCACACAAAGTTTATTGATCAAATTGTACATGAAAAGTTCTAATAAAGAATACACTCTGCTGTACTGTGTTGCAGGTTATTTAAAGCCAAATACACCTCACTTTTGCCATATTGAAATGCAAGTATTATTGGTTTAAATGATTTTGAGTTGCACTGGCATCATCATATGGAATTTTGTTCACTTCTGCTTTTCATCACTGTTCCACTTCTACACAGAGCAACCACTCCCCAGGTAGAGAGCACTGAAATCATCACATAGTGTTACTGGGTGTGATAAGCCTTGTTATGGACAAGACCGGACCACCTCAAAATATTTTAAGAATGTAGCCTAAGACCTTAACTTATCCTTATTTTAAAGGCAGATGTGAAGTGACTGGTCAAACTACTAGACGTTAAGCAAAACACAATTTATTTAAACACTATAGCTAAATACAAAGAAAGAAAGAGGAATTTAGAATAAGTTAACTATCGGAAAACTTAACCAAATAAAAGATAAAGTACCTATTACTAATTAACTGTTCCAATATTGTAACATCGCCTAAACATACCCCTTGCCAAAAAAACAAATTAAGACACAGTTTCTTACATCCAGTTCTCCAATCCAGGGGGAAAACAACATCAAGAGAAATTTCAGAGAAAGTAGCAGCTAGGAATCATTCACTGAAGCTTTCAGCTCATCGGAGACCCCAAAGGCTTCTGATGCTACAGCTAAAAAAAAACTAGAAAGCTTTGTCTGTGAGAGCTGGCTACACCCATTTGGGCTGCTTCCATTATTCCAATGTTTTCAAAAAAAACCTAAAGGCCTCACACATTGTTTGCTCTCAGGGTTCTGGTAGATGGCTTGGCACCTCTACCTTACAACCTCTCTTCAAAAATAAAACCAGGACAAAATAACCAGTTAAAGTGACAGTATCATCATAGCCTATATACAACGAGACTAGAGTCTCAAGGCCTGGAGTAATCCAAATCCTATTGTGGAAGGTTGTCAGTTTGAATCAAGTTTAAAGTAATTAGTAAAAGCAGCAAAAGTGATGAGGGAAAAATTTTTCATTTCAGCAAGTGGGCCTGGAATGCACTGCCTGACAGTGTGGTATGCATTTGGTGAGCTAGCACAGACACAGTGGGCCAAATGGCCTTGTTTTGCACAATAACAATTCTGCAATTCTGTGATGAAATAATTCTGGAATTTAAAGTGCCTCTGGTCCCACAGCATGGTGACTCTTAACTGCCTTTTGAAATGGGCTAGCAAGGCACACACTTGTATTAAATAGCCACAAAAGGGATGCAATGAATCAGGATGGGCCAAGCAGCATTGTCCTAAGCAATTGGCCTGCTGAATGCACACCTTGCCCATTTGAGACCCCTGAAAAATCTTATTTTCGAAGATCTGGGCATTTGTGGCAAAATTGGAAGAACTGTCAAACAGCATGGTCAGGCAACAGTCTGAAATAGAATCACACAAATCAGCCAATGGTCCCATATCCTCTGGCCCTGAGCATACCCAGAGACAATGACACAGGGATCCAGTCAGGAGACTGCACTCCACAGATCCTCACAAAAGACTTTGGACCCTGTGAAATCTCATGACAGTTAAATGTTGGCAAGGTAACTCCTCCCGCTGGTGAACAATCAATGTTCTCTGCCCTCCTCCCCCTTGGACGCCCAACAATAATCCTGTGATTGAACAATACTTGGGAGAAGCATGGAGGGTGGCCAAGGATGTGGTTTGAGTTGGAAGACTTCAACGTCCATCAATATGAGTGTCTCAGTAGTAGTATTTCTGGCTGAATCCTGAAGGGCATTGGAAATACAGTGAGAGAACCAACACAAGGGAAAGTCCTTGTCCTCATCAAATGGGCGTGGCAAGCTGATAAACTGTTGCACGCAAGACATTGTGAAATCCTGTCTTCACATGGAGGATTCCCTTTGTTACATTGTATGACACTACCATGACAGATTGATTTAATTATCTCAATTCAATCTGAAATAAGAAAAAGCGTGCACCAGTAACTGTGACCATAAAGCTACTGGACTGGCAATATTGACCTTTGGGGAAGAAAACCAGCTGGCTGCAAAACAATTAGATTCAGAACAGAACTAGCAACTGAAAACTGGGACTTACAAGGGCCCAGCAGCAACAGAAGTGTATTCCAGTGCAATGTCTTCTTGCCCAGCATATGACTCTCAGCCAATACCATCAAGCCAGACTGTCATCCCAATGAGAACAGTAGAGCATCTATAGTTTCAATGAGGTGCTAACCAGATGAAGCAAGACAGGACTGTATGCAACCTTTTACAGTGATAGCAGCATTCTATATATAAAACTAAGCAATCCCACAAACAACTATCAAAGGTTTGAGTTGTAGGGAAAGGTTGAATAGGCTGGGACTATTTTCCCTGGAGCTTCGGAAGCTGAGGGGTGACCTTATAGAAATTTATGAAATTATGAGGAGCATCGACAGGGTGAATAGCCAAGGTCTTTTTCCCAGGGTGGGAGAGTTCAAAACTAGAGGGCAAAGGTTTAAGGTGAGCAGGGAGAGATTTAAAAGGGACCTATGGGGCAACTTTTTCACACAGAGGGTGGTATGTGTATGGAATGAGCTACCAGAGGAGATGGTGGAAGCTGGCATAATTACAACATTTAAAAGGCATCTGGATGGGTACATGAATAGGAATGTTTTAGAGGGATATGGGCCAAATTCTGGAAATGGGACCAGATTAATTTAGGATATCTGGTCAGCATGGATGAGCTGGACTGAGGGGTCTGTTTTCTCTATGACTCTGTAGTCCTGCTGCAGCCAGTCAGGAATTCTAGTGAACAAGTAAGCAATGGGAAGAGGTAGTTTTCATAAACAATCCCAATCTCAATGATGGTGGAGCCCAGCACATCCGAGTATAAAAGCCAGGGCTGAAGGGGCTCGCAACTGTCTGCAGCCAAATGTGCCGAGGCAGTGATCCATGTCATCCATAATTACAAAAGCCAATCTTCTGCTAATTCGGGTGATGCAAGAGCAAACGTTATATGCAGTGACAACTGCCCAGCTGCAGTGTTGGAGACTTTAGCTTCAGAACCAGTCCTCATCACTGTATAGCTGTGACACTGGAAGCCACCCACAATGTGGGCATTTGGGCGCAGAAACCAGATACATTCAATTACCATCTGAGTGACCTAATTTTGGTAAAGTGATGGAAGGTGTCCATGACAGTGCTATTAAGCAGTACTTATCAATAACTTCTAAGTTTGTTCTCATCCAAAATTACTTGATTCCTGGTCTTATGACAGCCTTCATCTAAAAATGGACAAAAGAGTTGAATTTGAGGTGAGATGTAGGACTGCCAAATGACTTGAAAATATCATTTGATGAAATGTGATACCAAGGAATGCTGGTAGTACTGACATCAATGGGAATGGAGGGGAAATTCTCCACGGGCTCTGGTCATAATTAGTACAAAGGAAGTCATCATTTCATTTCATATATCGCTGTAGGATTTCTTCAGGACAGTATCCCTAGTCATACCGTCACACAGCACGGAAAGAGACTGTTCAGTCCAACCAGTCCATACTGAACATAATCCCAAACTAAACTAGTCCTGCCTTCCTGCTCCTGGCTCATATCCCTCCCAACCTTTCCTTTCATGTACTTATCCAAATGCCTTTTAAATACTGTAATTGTGCCTGATTCCACCACTTCCTCAGGAAGTTCATTCCACATGCAAACCACCACCTGTGGAAGAGAGACAACAAGGTGCAGGGCTGGATGAACACAGCAGGCCAAGCAGCATCATAGCAGCAGAAAGGCTGACGTTTCGGGCCTAGACCCTTCATCAGAAAAGCTTTTCTGATGAAGGG